TTTTTTTTTTTTTTTATTAATTCCACAAGTAAGACAAATTACAGGACAAAGTGATAGCGCACTCAAGTTACAATACTTATTTTGTCGCTACCACTTAATAAATGAAATACGAGGAAATAAGGGATAACAAAATGTGAAATGGTATAATAAAGTACAAAGATGTTGAAATGTTTATGAACGCAGTCCGATTCCCCACCCAATGATGAAGCAGATAAAACTGTAGGACACAGAAAAATATGACAGAGAATGATTATTGGAAGCGTTTAGTTGTGGTGATGAATTGTTGAGTTAACATCAAAATGTTAGAATTTGCTATGAGTGAACATGTGGGACTACCACGGAGAAGGAGGAACATTTTGGCGTTGTCAGACAAAACTGTAAAGTTGAGGGAGTGTCCTAAGAGCCTGGAAAGTTTGCCAAGGAGAATTATGCGTTGGGCGTTGTACATAGGGCAGTGGAGTAAGTAGTGTGACACTGTTTCGCTTTGGCACCCGCAGCTACAAGCTGGACTGTCGAGTAATCCTCGTGTGAAGAGACTGTGGTTTAGGCTGCAGGTGCCAATGCGAAGGCGTGTGAGGTGTACACAGGCAAGGCGAGGACCATGGCTAAAGTATTTGAACTTAACAGGCCGAATGGTTTTGAGGAGAGCGGTTCGAAAATGACAGTAGTTTAAAGAACGAGTTGACAAATCAAGATTATTCCAATGGTGTGTCGAGTACGGAACAAAAGACTTAGCAAAACGATTGGTTGAGTAACTAGGAGATCTTAAGTTCATCTTGTTGCGTAGGTCATATGTACATGATGAAAAAATGGCCGCGGGTAATATTTCAGACAAGTAGTTGCGAGTTAAACCATGAACGATTCTGTGAAACAAACAAAGTCGATGAACATGTCGTCTATCTGATAATGATTCCCACCCGAGTTCGTGCCTAGTTGACAGGTAAGACGAACCCTTAGTGGCACCTGACACGACGAGGGCACAGTGATATTGTATTCGTTCAATGAGTTGAGCTTCCTCACTTGTCGTCCCGTGCCAGATGACATCGCCATACTCCAGACAGGGGCGTATATATGATTTGTAAAGAGATTCGAGGGTATTGCGAGGTAGTTTAAATTTAAGGCCACTAAAGAGGTCAATGCTTTTAGATATCTTGGATGCAATGTAATTAATATGGGAATTCCATGACATATTTGAGCACAAGATGACCCCAATATGCTTATGGGTGTTGACAGACTTTATAACACAGTTGTTAAGAAGGAGAGGTGGGTGAACTAGGGGTTCGCGCTTGGCTGAAAAGCACATTTCTTCCGATTTTGTCGGATTTAGTTCCATGAGCCACTGAATGGCCCATGTATGTATTTTGGACAGGTCAAGAGTTCAAACAAACAGCGGAATCGAGGGGGTTTTCAGCAGTCTGGAGAAGGGAGCTGTCATCGGCGAAGAGGAAAGGGAGGGAAACAAGATCATTTACAATGTCATTTATATAAATAAGGAAAAATAATGGACCAAGTATTGAACCCTGTGGAACTCCAGCGTTAGTGGTGGCCCAGGGAGAAGACTGGCCATCAATGACTACACGCTGTGATCTGTAACTAAGGTAACTGTCAATCCAATTAATAAGTGGTCCTTCTAGACCGTTACGTTGCAACTTAAAGATAAGTCCAGCGTGCCACACCCTGTCAAAGGCACGTGAGAAGTCGAGAAATACTGCTCGCACATCTTTACCTGCCTCTAAAGCTTGTAATATAGTATGTGTAAAATAGGCCAACTGGCAGACTGTGGAATCGCCTTTGACAAAGCCTGACTGGAGACGGTATAAAAGATTGTTACTTATCAAATGGTTATAGAGGTGTTTGTAAACTATTTTTTCAAGTACCTTTGACAGGGTGGGCAGTAGAGATATAGGTCGGTAATTACATTTGTCTTGTGGGTCGCCTTTTTTAAAAATCGGTATAACATGTGCGTATTTCCAAGTTTCGGGGAAGAGGCCGTGACAAAGTGACAAATTAAAGACAAAGGATATATGATCGGCAATTAGAGGGGCAATAATTTTAAGAAAATGGTTGTCGATATTATCGTAACCATGGGCCTTGCCAGTATCCAGGTTGTTTATAAACAGTAAGACTTCATCAGGGGTGGTAGTGATGTGGCAAAGCCGACTGGATGTAAGGTAGTCAAAGGCCGGGAGAGAGGCGTGTGAATCGTCAATAGTCGACTGGGAAACAAAATATTGGTTTAAGATTCTAGCCTTGGATTTTGGCCAATGACGTCATCAAATTAGCATAAATTATGCATATTTAATGATAAAATTTACATAAAATTATATGGGATGTTATTAATATTAGAAACCATGAGTAACTTGACATAGAACCCATAAAATTCTATTGTTGAAACAAAAAGTACTAAATTTAGCAAAAAATGCCTGTCAGAAACCCGTTGCCATGGCAACACAAAAAATCATTAGCTTATTCCAATGATAGAGAATTGTTGCCAACAATATTTTAGGAAAAGTCACCAAGTTTGGTCGTTCTACGGCTAGCCGTTCAGACGCTACGTGACATCAAAGTTGCCGCGGGCACTTTTAGCCCCCCCCCCCGGTCTAGGTAGGGTTAAAATCTGCCCTGCCAATGCTGATATTCCACGTCATTTATTTCTGATTATACAGCAAATAAGTATTACATGATCCTGTGTTGCAGGGTGTACAGAGAACAGTTACAGAAGGGTTGCAGGGCCCTGCAGACAGGAGACCTGGACACGGCAGAGAAGCACTTTGCAGCTGCGCTCAGGGCCGTACATGTGAAACGTACGTACCTAAAAAAAGTCAACACTCGGAAGAAATCATTTCAGGAAAATCACAGATTCAAGTCTAATTGAAATTTGGCACTGTGTATGCTCCATGTTATAATTTTAAAATCACCATAAATAAAGCACAGACAAAATATCACAACAACGCCCTCTGTACGTTATGAGGAAAAAGTCCGAAACTTAGATACGTTACTGACAGTGCTAAAATAGTACGCCAGCCATCAGTTTGAAGAGTTCTATTTGTGCGATTTGAAATATTACCGATTAGTAAAAAATCTAGTCAAGGGCTTTTGTAACCTTTAAACTGTTGTTAATTTTAGATTCAAATGCAGACAAATACAAGAAAGAGGCGGAGCCCCTGTGCAGGTTAAGCGATGTCTACCCGGAAAGAGGCAAGAAGTCGAAAGACGGAAGTGACTTCACCAAGGCTGCAGCAATCCGTAATGCCGCACTGGTCAGAGCAAGGACAGAGGACAAAAAAGACATCAAACAAACAATCCTACAAGTTAGTCAGTTATTTGTTGAGCACGTGCTGGGGATCAAAGAAGTAGTGAACACCAGTGACTCAGATAAACACAAATCAATACTGAAGAAAGACCGAGAGCATGTAGAAGACAAGCTCAAAAAAATCGAACAGGAGATCGATCCTTATAGTCTTGATGACGATGATCCAGAGATAAGAGAAGTGGAGAAGCAGAGAGCGGAAGCAATCTTTACATTGTTCAAAGCAACAATTGTTGAACAGAGAAAAACGTTCATATCTGGCCTTGTAGATGAATGTATGGAGGTAATGGGCTAACCTCCCTGTAAGTACGCCATGATAGGCTTGGGTTCACAGGCCACAGGGTTAGTAACCCCGTACTCTGATCTGGAGTTCGCCATCCTGATAGAGGAGGAAACAGAGAGTAACGTCGAGTATTTCCTCAACCTCACTCATTATCTGCATCTCAAAGTCATCAACCTGGGAGAAACCATCCTCCCGGCCATGGCGATCAAGTCGCTCAATGATTTTTCTAAAGACCCACCGAACAGCTGGTTCTACGACTCTGTAACGCCGCGCGGGTTCGCGTTCGACGGATCCATGCCGCATGCGTGCAAGACTCCACTGGGCAGGGGGGAAACAGCTGAACTTATCCACACACCGAGTGAGATGACGAAGGTTTTGATAGAAGACTTTCGGCGAAACATTGAGAGAATCGAGAAATTGAGAGAACAAATCATACAAGTAGACATGACTTTGCATGTAAAGAAAGGCTACCATCTCGCCACCATATTGGGGAATGTGTGTTTGATCTCAGGAGACCAGGACTTGGTCGATGTGTATTCCGACTTGTGGACCCGGCAGGACTTGGTCCATGTCTATTGCACTTCCGCCTTGTGGACTCAGCTACTACAGGGGAATGATAGGGCGGTATCTGTGTTACAGGCATTGACCATAATGGCCGAAGGTACTAATGTCCAAACGTTTACATTTGAAGAACTAACATCGAGACTACACTGCACGAAATGGCCTCGGATTCAAGCAGATGCGTACCGGGATTTGTCCGTATTTTTCGCAGATACAAGCGGATACTGACGGATCAGAATGGAATCAGCCAGAAAATCCGAAACATCGGTTACTGCAATCCGGAACCTATTCCGTACAAATCCGAAAAACGGGCTCCTTGTAGTAAATATTCCACACGGAATACGTTCGGATTTTGCCAGGATACGCACAGAAAAGAATTTGAATCTTGGCAGATGCGTACCGGGATTTTCCGGAATTGCTGACAGATACCAGCGGATACTGACGGATCAGAATGGAATTCGCCAGAAAATCCGAAACATCGGTTACTGCTATCAGGAACCTATTCCGTACAAATCCGAAAAACGGGATTCTTATAGTATATATTCCACACAGAATACGCTCGGATTTGCCCGGGATTCGTACAGAAATGACCCCTGACAAATGCGTAACTCAGGATTTGAACTTTAATACCTTCACCATATTCCCATTCAGGATACATTCGGATACGTACAGGCTTAATAGGAGCTCCTGCAACTAAATAGTTTATTATCAATACACAGTATAGCCTGAAACATATCGTGTGCAATTACCACTCCTAAGTGGACAGCTATGTTCTTACATTTGGGGTACATAGTTATCCATTTTGCTACCACTTACAAAAACTGTAACAAACATTTCTGTCCAACGTTACCCCCTAACAGTAAGCTATGCCGGCGCCTTTACACTTGAGGTCATAGTAAACAAACAAAAACTGTAATAAACATTATTCTGCCCAAAGTTACCCTAAAATAGTTAGCTATGCCTTTACACTTGGGGTACATATCCATACACAAATCATAGTGAACTAACAAAAACTGTAACAAACATTTCTGTCCACTGAAAAGTTACCCCCAAAGAGTGAACTTGGGGTACATATTCGGACACAAATCATGGAAAACGTGTTTCACTGGCCTCAGAAAATTCACCAGAAATAATACTGGACCTAATTTAACATTTAGAAATCCATTGATTCAACTCTTACAAGATGGGACTTTTAGACTTGGAAGTGGAAGAAGGGTCACTGGGCCAGGTACCCCCATTGTTCACTGCCGTTTTACCTGTTCACTTTAGTATGAAGTTTCAAATTTTTGGTCGAGCTCACTTTTGTATTTTGTAGATGTGGGCAGCCAAAGAATAGCCTTAGTAAAAAAATATTTCCATTTTCATCATAAACTGGCTCGTCTGGTGACATGTACTCCGGACAGCTTGAGCTTGAGCCGCTTACTGCATGGTTTCTTCACCTTCAAGGCGATGATCCAGTTTCTGTTGGCAAAAAAGCCATGGATCATTTAATACATCATAACACAGACTAGCAAAACCTTGTCACATACATCCTGGAGGTATAAAAAGGTAAACAAATACACAGGTGGCAAAACGTCCCATGTCTTTATATAAACGTCTTCGAGATGAGGAGGCTCCGCCTGTAGTACTCCCTGCTGTTTGCAAATTACATTGGTCAGAAAACTTGGGCATCTTCAATGGACAAAAAGTAACATATAACTTGATCAAAATTTCTACCAGACATATAATAAAGGAATTGACAAATCGACTATACCTGAATACAATAAAAATACTGAACACTTTTTTTTAAACTGCTCCCTATTTTTGTCAAGACGAGGTTGGCCCGGCACGAATGCCTATTGACCGTTAGAAAGTATGAACAAGTTGCTACCCTACAGAGACAAGCCTCTAAAAGCCTTTCATCTATAATGTGGAGGGGGCAGGTTAGTTAGAGACATGCATTTTATAATGTTTCTGGCAGCGACATATCAATAACCAAATAGGTATGATAACTGAACTTACCAAACGCCCGATGTGTTGGATCAAGTGCGCAGGGCCGCCGTGCAAGGGGGAGGGGGCGCCGAAGCTTGCTACACACGTCACTATTCTGTGCGTTTGAATTGACATCACATCCTCCTCCTGTCCAAACACTATCAATCCTGTCCAAACTCGATGACCGATCATGGTAGACTGGTTATGTCATCATGGTATCACGAAAAAAAGCGATACAAACGCCTGATTTCACTCTAGTTTTCCCCTGCATCGAAGCCAACTTTCCTAACGGTTTTCATTCTAACCGCCAACACTGTACGCATGCGTACGCTAGCTGGCCGCGTCTCTTAACAACTTGGGTAACGCCTGGAGGGCCCTTGGTGATCACAGAAAGGCCGTCAGCTATCATGAACAGTCACTACAGATGCAGCGGAGTATTTATGGTAAGGGCACTGAACATCCTGACATCGCCGCGTCTCTTAACAACTTGGGTAACGCCTGGGGGATCCTTGGTGATCACAGAAAGGCCGTCAGCTATCATGAACAGGCACTACAGATGGCCCTGCGGGACCCCCGACTTCGTGCCGCTGGAGCAGGTGTACAACAGCGGCCACGCCTACGCCATGTTCATCAAGATCACCGTGGACACGGCTGGGCTTATCTAATCCATATCTCGTAGTGAGATAGAAACATAGGGACCAGGCTGTAGATATCGTAGCGCTTTTACCTTCAACCTTCAACTAAGGGGGCCTCTTTTACATCGACTATATACGAGCTAGTGAGCAAAATATAGAGGAGGCTCTCTTAGCTTTTAGTCGCCACGGCTACTGCCTTCTTCATACCTTCCTACCCGGGAACTTCTACTTATGGCACTGTATATCTGTTTTTCTGTTTTCGTAAGCTTCTTCCTTGCGTTTCAAGCGATAATACTACAGATGTTACGGAGCATCCATGGTGAGAACACTGAACATCCTCACATTGCCAGGTCACTTGGTATTAGCGCTCTTGTTGACATTTGGTGTTGACCCAGAACTCGGAGATCTGCTAAATGGGCTAATAAGATTGTCTACGACTTGTCTGAGTTTGTTTTTCCGCTTTGGTGTGCCGACTGGGATTTTTATCAGAATTTCGTCTGAGTTTCTACTGGATATAGATACGGAGTCTTCGAAGTCGGTAGTTGGCTTACCTTTTAACATGTCGGCTGAGGGGGTTCCGGTCGTGGTGACTTGGTTTCCGGTGGCGTCACTTCGGCTTGGGTCGCCATTTTGTTTCCTTTTTTCCAAAGTTTCATTGACCTTTTTCTTCAACTCAGGGAAGATTTTATCCGACCACCACATGAACGATGTTCCTTGAATGATGATCGTACCATTTTTCCAGAAATGGATAGATAGTGCACACACTTCTTGGGGTTTTCCGTCGATTGTATCAGTGTCGGTGATGACGAGGACGTCTGCATGGTTCTCCTGTCTCCATTTAACTGATTGTCTAGTTTGCCTCCCGTATTCTTCATTGTACTTTACCTTGCAGGTTTCAACCCAGATTGGAACCCTATCGGTGGTGGTAACGAACTTTGTATCGCAAGGGCTGGTCTTGGCTTTGTCGTCAAAGTCCACATGCAAAGTCTCGTCTGCCGGGAGTTTCGACGCCGCGATGTTCCACCATTTCGTCGTTTGCCCTCTTGTCGACGCTCTCGTGCTTCTTCCAGCCATTTGGACACTCTAGATGAACTTCTTTGATCTCTTGATGTTTCTACTACTCAAATATTATAACATATATGCGATACGCAGCAATGAATCGCTCTAAAACATTCTATGCGCGGAGCTCCTGTAACAGGCGTCCGAACACGGCGGCCATCTTGACAACATATGAGAACTTTTTTGCCCTATTATTGCTATTTGTTAAACATTTACATTTTACCACACCTGATGGGATTCCTAAACACCTATCTTTTCCTGAAATCTCTCACAGGTAACTATTTCTGCGCCTTGTGCTACTGCATTAAAGACACCATAGCACAGTTCAGACAGGGTACGAGCATTCATTATTTGGACATGAGTGAGAGTTTCTGTTGTGCACGCTGTTTTCATATTCAGCTGCATTTTCTCACTGTAAAATTGTTGAAATCGGTCATCATGGAGTTTCCTTTTGTTGCTTTTAGGATTCGAACTAAGATCACAAGACAAGGCAAATCTGTGTGTTGCCCAGCGGAACAATTTTGGGCATAAGGAACTCCCGGTGTTCAACATCCCATTTGAGAATGTCATCATTGACACGTTACATATGTACGTAAGCAAACTTTTTATCCTAAATATATTGTGTAGAAGCAATTGCAGTAATTGTGGTCGTTTTTAATTGAGAAAATGGAGTAGCTGTTTCATATCCCCAGCAAAGAAGCAAACTAATGGTTAACAAACTATCATTTTTTCCAGATTTCTAAGGATTGGAGGGAAGCTCCTGTACCAGGTCACATGTCACGATTTTACAATTTTCATTTGATAACTGAGCATGATCACATTCAGCATTTCACAAGAACTGTGATAACATATGACCAAAACACAGGTAATCAAACCATTTTTCTGGCCAAACTACCACATTAAGAGTACCAATACTTCTGAGGTGTATTTTGAAAAAGTAGTTTATTGACATACATCAAACATTAAGTAGTATCAAGGAGCTTCACTAGTATCAAAAGTTGTGATAGTTCACTACAATTTATTATTATCCATCTTTAGCACTAATGAGAAAAATGCCCCCCCCCCTGCAGTGGCGATTGCAAATGTTAACATGTACAAATAAAAAGCGATGCAAAATATTGAAATGTTAATTACCTAATAACGTAGCAACAATAATGAATAGAACTTGAGACTTATAAGTACAAAATTCATCAATCAACTAGTGACAATGGTTTTCCTTTCCACTTGATTGGCTGGACCATCGACCAGGGTCGTACTGAACCCTGGAGAAAGCCATGATGGAGATAGGTGTCTGGATCAGGAAGGAAGGCACAGCACTGGGACCGAGCGCATACAAGTGGAAAACACTGACTTGTAAGTTTTGACTGCAGCTTTTCTCCTCTAAATGTGTAAATGGATGATGTGAAAAATGACCTTTAAGTTAATAAAGTTTCCCAAAGTTTTATCTCACACAGAATGATTTTTGTATGTGACAGTTACAGGCAATGAGTTGAAAACTGCCATTAGAGGCCTGCCCCTGTACATGACAAACATCATCGACGATGTTGGCGACAGCAGCCAGGTGTCTATTGACGCCCTCCAAGGACCCCAGGCAACAACAGCCCTGACGAACATGGGTGAAACAGTTCCAAGGGCTATTTCAGAAAGAAAGGCCAAGCTTAAAAGGCTTTAAGGCGAACATGCCATGGCAAGTGTTTCTTTTTTCTTTGCACAAATCGGATATATTAGTTTCAAAGCCTGGTACTGCATGTAATTTTATCAACAATCCAGGTTAGCTGAAATTGAACCCATGGTTTAATTTTTTTCATATTCCCTATGCAGGTGTCACTTTCAAACAGAAATGGTGGGGAAGACCAAACAGAGATAAGGGTGGCAGACATCATCAAGCTGTGGAAGGTATATTTCAACTTCAAACTTCTGAAGTATGCTTCAGTTAATTTGAGTTCGGTTCGGGTTTGAACAAACTGGACATCTAACATTCCCTCCAATTGCAATGTCCTATTGTAAAAACATAAAATTAGTCGATACATAAGCCTGTTTCAAAAATGATTGATGGCATCAGCTACTACATAGTCACACAGGAAAGGTTGAGCCTCACCCTACATGTATGACTGGATGTGTGTATCTGTATGGAGCTGATGAATACGTGCATGGAGAAGCTGTGAGATGAAGAGATTACAGTCACCAATACCAAAGGGCAATTCAGTCCACACAGGTCATTACAATCATTGCTGTAGCTGTTTTATCCTTTTTTTAAACCGGGAGATAACAAAGCGATATATTATTCCATCCAGACACTATTCCTTTCATGGATGCTCCTGCCAATGACTTGTATTATTGTTCAGTTGCAGTAGCTACCTGTGTCCTTTGTCTGTATGTTTTCACAGCCTGTGCGGATAGACCCGCCTGATCCCATGAAGCCAGACTACAAAATACGGGCCGATGTCTGGGACGAATAACGAAATGTCTTGCCAGCTTCAGAACACACAATATTATATGATTTCATATGGTACCATTGATGTGTATCTAAGTACAGTACGCAATATATGCACTTGGAACAAGGCTGGGAGGATCCAACTGAAGACTCCTTTCTCATAAGTCGCATTGTACAAGGGATTAGAAACTCGAAAGGTCAGAACAAATTTACAGTACGCTTGGCAATGACACAATTTTGCAAGTGAAATATAGCAAAATGGACCACATCTTCCAAAGAGACATTATAGATTAGCAACGAAAACAAAATGGCGGGATTTCACCTTTGTGTTCACCAAAGTGTCAAATACAGACCCAGAA